TGCCAGGCACGGCCACGATATACAGATCCATAAATATGCCTTGAAATATTCCGACTGCTCTGAAATTGGCTTTTTGTGGTGCGAAGGGCAATTCCCCGTCCTTCAAAAGTGAGGAAAAGTCATCGGTATTACAGAGAACTTTGTCCATCCGTGCCTTGCTGACTTATTGGGCACATATAAAGCAATTTAGTATTTTTTGCTTTCTTAATGATGATGATGATGATCATGATGGTGGTGGTGGTGGTGGTGGTGGTGGTGGTGGTGGTGGTGGTGGTGGTGGTGGTGGTGGTGGTGGTGGTGGTTCGTATTCTAGTTACCCTGTTTGCGAAAATGATAGAAAACTTTGTAGTGCCGTATGCAAAAAATAAGGGCACATGTTTGACTTCTGGGGTGCCAGTTTGAAATAGCTGATCTCGGCCAATGCTTGTTTGATAGCATTACCGTCAAAAACAAGGGAGATTGGAATGATCATTTCTGGCTTATTAGCCGTCGTCAGCTAGTCATACCTAACCGCGAAGTGTGGGGCACTTGGGGCTCGATCCCGCGACCTGTTGGTTAGAAATCTAACGCCTCTAACCACTGAGCCAAGGGCTCGTTGTTCTGTCGGTTGTGATCAGGAATATAAAATGGTAGCTACCGTGCTAGGCATGTCTCATCGATTTTCGGCGGCTACAAGGTGCTGCTACGAGGAAACCAGCTCTTTGGTAGGGCGCCGGCTTTTCCCATGTGGTTCCTAACCTAAGCACATTTTTGAGTATAAGCCAATAATTTACTGGGACATTAATGAACACATCTTGACGGCGCTTTCTTCACCCTGATACAATTACGGGGAAGTGTCTGTTTGTTCCAACAGCCCTAACAAGAAGCGGACTTTAGGGTTCATTGATATTTTGGCAGATTTTGAATAATTCATATTGACCCAACTGTGAAAAGCTCGGCGCCTCGGTGGGATTCGAACCCACGCACGAAGGGGGAAGGCTTTAGTACAGCCAACGCTCTAACTACCTGAGCTACGAGGCCCCGCCGGACGAGGCGAGTTTTATCACACCTGGGTCAAGTTACCCGCCCAACCTACTGCAACGTCTGGAATCCACCAAATCTGATACACTAGGTTGACTGCCCAGGCAGGATTTCCTAAGTAATTCACCTAGAATCCACTAGATGACTACAACTAGGCTCACGTAATTCATCGATATTTTGGCAGCGGGGCCTTGTAGCTCAGGTAGTTAGAGCGTTGGCTGTACTAAAGCCTTCCCCCTTACTGCGTGGG